GAAGGAGAGAGGGGGGGGGATGTGAGAGAGACACATTGACTGGTTGCCTCCTGATGGAGCCTGCAACTGAGGTATCGAACCCCGGGACCCTTCAATCTGCAGGCTGACACTCTAACCACTGAGCCAAATTGGCTGGGGCTCAAATCTTAAATTTTATACCAGCAACAGCAGAGCTGGGAAGAAGGTATGATGATGCCAGAGCCAGATTTCCAAAAGGCTGGGGGTTGGGGGGAAATGAGGCAGAGAAGAGAGCACTGCAGTGAGCTAAGCTACTAGGGTGGGTCTCTGGGAAGAGACTCTGCCACTTCCTCCTTGAGCCTTTCAAACCAGGGATATGGAGAGATCAGGACCCCCAGAAAAGTTTGGGGGCTCTGAGAGTTGAATGTGTGACTTGGTCTGTTAGGTGCAACTCTAAAATCTTTCATCATGAGAAGGTATAATAGTGGCCAAGTAGAAATGGCAGCGGGTGGACCTAGGCAGGTGGACCTGAGAGCATCTCAGACTCATGCCTAATGTGTGAGGATCCCAAGAAGCATTAAAATACAGCATGGAAGTTGCTCAAAAAGGGGGTAGGCGACCAGGAAGGGGCTTCTGGGGATGTAATAAAGGGAGCACGAAAGCAGATGAACCTAGACAGGCCAGGCCAGAGACCATGGTACAGATGCAGACATCTGTGGGCACAGGAGAGGCCAAGGAGGACAGCTCACAACCTGGTAGGGGTGAGGTCTGCCAGGCTCCCTGAGCAGTAGAGGAAGATGGATGATGACCGAGGGCCAGACAACCTCCAGCCTCCTCACCCCCCACCCCATACCATGACCACATTAGCTCTGCAGAATGTACCTGTGATCCTGGAAAGCAGAAGTGGGACAGAACCTTCGACTTGACTGAGTGTACCCCTGACATGACTGAGTGATCACACACTCACCTGACTGAATTTGCCAGGAAGTGACCAGATTATATTTCTGCTACCAAATGGAAATAGGTAATGGAAATGGAAATAGACAGTAATTAAGAAAATAAGACAGCTATTATTTTGGCACACCTGAGTTTTCTTTAAAAATTTCTTTGATTGATTTTAGAGAACAGGAGGGGGGAAGAGAGAGGGAGGGGGAGAGAGAGAAGAGAAGGGAGAGGGGAAGGGAGAAGGGAGGAGAAGAGGAGGG